CATCGAAACTGTCTCACAGGAAAAGCGAGTTGTCAAGGAGCTTTGGGGCAGTGGTCTCTATCCATTGTACACAAACCCATGGTGCAACATCAGAAGGAGGGATAAGGTTGAACACAGATGGCATGGTTGCCAGTGTAACTGACTTCAATTCCAAATGCCAGGTAGATATATCACCAAGGAGCTACCAGCAGTATGTCAGTAGCTGTAACCAAAAGATGGGACTACTTACAAGGCACACCATATCTTGCTTGTGGTCAGGCCAGTAACCTATAAAGTTAGGATAATGAGACATGTATAAAGCAAAAATATTGTTACTCACCATCTTCAAATTGCACACTGTGTTGATTCCACTCAATGACGACAGTGACGAGTGCCTCTGTTGTGGAGAGGTTGAGGTCATGAGATTTTGATGGGAACAGGTTAGAAAGTGCATGTGCAGCCCTGCATTCTTGCTTAGCATCTTTGAGACAGTCCTTCCATACTGCCTTGTGAAATCTCAGTTGTGAAGGCAATGGGCCCTCATCCTTAGCTTTCTTGGAGTTATGATGTGAGTCAAAGTGTGGTTCAGTGGTGAAAACCAACTAAAACCAACACAAAAGACAAAAGAAGCAAGTGGTGGTGTGCCTATGTGGTACCCAGATGGTAGAACCTTTGACCTGAGTGGTTTTTTGTGAGCTACAACACTCAAGGACAAGTGCTGAGGGTTGGGGGTGCTCCTGACAAAGAATAAGCAGGAATGCAAGAGAATGTGATAGGGTAGACTGCTGTCAGCCTACAGAAGGATGGATGGCAACTTAATTTGATGCTCTGAGCTGCACTGAGCTCAGGGAGGACCTGGAGTGAAGTAGATTGATGATAGATGATAATAAGCAAAGTAGATGATAGTTAGACCCTTAATAAAGTCTCAACTATTGAAGCTGATGGAGGATTTACTGAGTGATGATAAAAAATGTGAGCAAGAGGGGCTCTCTGACATCTTCTTCTCTTTTTTTTGCTATCTATGTACAGTGATTTATATACAGTACAGGGGTGTTGCCCATGGAAAACAAGGTGCAAACACTTGGTAACTGATTGGCAACTGATGAGTAAGGAATGTAAGCAATAGGTAATCATCTTGGAAAGCATTGGTAAGCATTGGTAAGGATTAGCAAGCCAAAAAGTGAAGAATCAGTAAGCAAAGTCAAAAGATTGGTAAGTATTGGCAATAGGTGAGTCAAAGACAGTCAGAATGTCAAAGTATGAGTCAAGTAATGCCAGGAACTGGGAAAGCACACTGGAATCACATTAGGGGGAGGCTGTGCATGTCACATCTTGAAGAGATCGCTTCTAGGCCTAAGGTGGGATGACAGAGAGGCAGTGCTGATCTGATGCCAATATAGTACATCCAAAAGTGGACAGGGTGAGTCAGATGTCAACAGGGGTCAAGCTTTGGGGGTCTGTGGGGTGGCAGGAGCATAGGGGATCACAACTTCCCCCCCCAAACCATCCTCTCAGGGAAGCAAATAAAAACTTCATGAATGAGGCTCTGTTGGAAGAGAGGATGAAGGGGGAGTGTCTTCTGCTGTATCTTGCAACAAGGAGGCAAGATGTGCATCATACTTGTCATGGATGTGATCAGGGAGAGTGGAGAACAGTAGATTATACTGTAGCTGTCACAATCTTGGAAGAATGATGGATGAGACTGGTATGAAGACATTGCAGGGAGCAGGGAGGAAAGATCCATATGCTTCTTGGACTGGAGAGACTGAAACGACCACATAAGACCTTTCCAAGAAAATGACAGACCTGAGGCAACCAAAGAACGTCCTCCTGGAGGCCATACTGACAAAAAGAACACACTGTCCAAGCTGGATGGGCTGAGAGGGCACAGACAAGGGTGGGATGTACCAGGATGCTTCAGGATGGAAGCTGGTAGGAACTCCTGATAGATATATGTAGCCATGGTCCCTAGCAAAGGGGACAAGTGAAATGATTGATGTAGAGGCAGCCATATCAGAAGAATTTAGCAAAACAAGTGTCTTTTGGAGGGAGTGCTGTAGAAATGTGTGGAGTGCACAAATCCTTTCCAGTTTTGGAAGGTAAGATTGCATGGCTGAGCACTACAAGCGAGTGTGGGAATGGTCTTGGTATCTGCAGAAATGGTGGAGATATGTCGAAAACTGGAATGCCATACATGGGCACTTAAGAATTTTAGCCAGCACTTAACCTGCTCCCTTTCTTTTTCTCTGGCACTGATGACCTGTTCTTGTGTGAGGGATGACTGCTGACATTCCTGGCTGTCCTTCTTTGCATGAGGGGCTCTGGTGTGCTGAGATACTTCGTTGACCAAGTCATATGCAAGGGTCAGAAGATCATGATCGGGAACAGGACAGCCATTAGTGCAATGGTGGCATTCAAGAATGTTGATGACAGCACCACATTGGGAACCCTAAAACAACAATCTAAATAAATAAAGCTAGCAGGAATGGCATTTTCATACCTCTGGCTGAGCCTTGTCCTTGGATTGTAAGCTTTGCAGAGCCACATCATCATCCTTGTTGTATGTGTACTGAAACTCATGGTCAGGGGGTAAGGAATTGTGGTGAATAGGATTGCTTGTCATCATTTCTTGGGAGAAGCCTAACAAAGAACATTGAGCCAATACCATAATAACCTCTGACACATACCAGGATGAGTTGATTGCCTAAGATTTGTTGCACCCCATCCAAATGCATCATTCTCATCTTTGTCAAACTCATCGCTGGAGACCTTGCCAGCCTCTGTGTCTGATGGGTTATTACTCAAGGACTCCGACTCCTCTTCTGAGGAGCCCTCTGATGACAGCTTCTCTGAACTCTTGTGGCAAATGTCAGCAGTTGCCAAAGTTTGTCTCAATGAGAGCAAGCTATCAAGGGAGGGGTCGATACAAGAGTTGGGGATGGCAGCAGGCAGCTGGTGGGGGATAAACTGAGACTGGTAGTTGGGCTGGGGTGTTGGTGGATGAGATGTATTACTGGGAACTTGGTCTCCCCGAATCGCAGCGATATAAGGATTATTGAGCACTTGAAGGTCAGGTTCCATCCCAGGAGGCATGATATGACCTGGCTGTTGAGCTGGAACACTGAAACCAAAGTGATGGGAGTCTGTGGGGTGTGGATGGAAGACAGGTGTTGCTACTGCTGTTGAAGACTGAGGGACAGGATTCTGAAATGAACATTGTATATCAGTATGAAAAGACACTCACTGGAGGCATATCAGCTGGGCTAGGACCATTCACAATGGGAGGCATGTAGGGTGGTGGGGCGACATTGGACTTTGCAAGCAGTTAGCTTGATATTTGCAAATAACTAGAACTGCCCTTCAGTTTTGCATTCTGGCCAGCACTGTGTCCCCCACCCTTTTTCTGCCAATGGGCAGAGGTGCAAGAGGATTTACAACAGAATTGTTGGGGAGATCCATCGACTTTTGTGGCCATGTAGCTCAGCCTTCAAGGGCAGTACCAATCTGCTCCAATTGCTCGGCCCTTCCACTTGAACCTGCCCCTGCCCTTCCACTACAATGGAGTCCTGCTGTGGCAACAGACTGAGACTCTTTGAGATTGATGGGTGGGCTTCCTAGATGCTTGTTGTTTGTGGGTTGAGTGCTTCCATTGGCCTCTGGTCATTGTTTGGCTTTTTTGCTATCCTTCTTTTTCGGTGGGATTGTTCCAGATTGGGTGGACATCTGCAGGTACAAGCAGAGAACAGTATAAGATGGAAGCCTGGGGACCACAATGAAATGACATCTTGTGAATCCATATAAACATTGACAGGTTCATCGTGAGATGTAAAATGAAATGACACATGGAGATGGTTACCTGCTGCAAATGAATTGAAACACTTTACACATAGCATACAGAACATGAACTAAACATAAAATTCATGCTAAGACTACATGCCTTTGAAGCATTTATTGAGTATAGGAGGGTTATCCATGCTCCTTACCTCTTCACAAAGGCATTTAGAAGACATAATTGCCAAAGACATAACATCCATATCATTCTCCTGACTTGGACACATGCTTGAATTAAGCGCTTTGTGCTGGGCAATGATCTGCTGGAATGCATTTGTCATCTCCAGTGGTTTCTCATATGGCATGCTGGCCAAGAAATGGTCAAAAAGGGAGATAATGTCAGAGAACTGCACTGCAGTTCTGCTCAGCAGGGACCACCCAAGCAATATGCACCACTCATTAGCCAGAGGGATTAGATCTTGAAAATATTGCGAGACCTCGGAATCCAGCCTCAATTCAGACAGGTCATTAAGGAATGTGAACTTGGCACATCTGGTGATTTCAAGATCTTTGGCTGCCTTTTCACTCCACAAGCCAAGAAGTGTCTTTTCATGGCTGATATCTTGACACTCATGGCCAAGTGGCCCATCATAAAGGATGAGGATCCAGATGAAAATGTAGAACAGGGATTCAATATCGTCTGCAAATTTATGGTGTATAGTAGTAGGGTGATCAATGAATATGCAGGTGAGAGAGGTGCTTTTCTGATTTGATGGGACATTAGTCTTTCCACTTTTAGTGATGGCTTCCTTGAGTTGGCAAAGGATATTCACTGAAAGGAAGGGGACTGTCCCCTTTGCATACTATCAGCTTCGAGTTCCAAAATGTTTTGCATAGTACTTACTGCGCTGCCTAAGTCATATTCCCCCCTGTAACATGAGCTGTACAGCAAATTCCCAGTCAAGGAGAAAGCTGTGTGACCCATTTGTGAAGCCCTTGATCATTGTATTGTTGATGCTACAATCTTGATGGAGGACACCCCTCTCGAGAGCCTGCTGTTGGACTGTTAAAGCAATTAGTATTGATTTTACAAGTGGAAGAGGATATGTACTTCATAAAATATCTCAGATGCATGAAACGAGTTCCTTTTTTGTCTTGAACATTACCATTGGCCTTGCACATGGCTTCATAGCCAATTGCACATGAGTTCTCTGAGACTTCATGCACGATCGCCACTTCTCATCACAATATCATTCAGTTTTATCAACAATGCCCAGCTTGACCTTGACGACCCAGTAGTGTTGCAACTTGGGAACTCCATTGATGTCCTGGACCAGCTTCATCATGTTGACTTTGTGCAGGGCTGTCCTCTGCTCTGACTCCTCCACCCAATAATCCTTGATGATGTAGTATTCCCCATTGTAGCATGTGAGGTAACAAACAGTACCCCTTCCTAGAAAGCCTGTGCTCAAGAATAATACATCAAGCACCTTGTAGAAGGTCTTGTTTACTTGGATCCTCCTGATTGCTGGGATGTGTTCAGGTGATGCGGGAGTCAGGAGTGAGTTTGCACTGGGGAGGATGCCCAACTCCAAGTGAGGAGAAGGCATTGCAGGAGAGGGGAAAGGGGAGAGAGGTATCACAAGTGCTGTGCATTTGCAGCTGTGTGCAGGATGGGGGGATATCTCTATGGTTGAATCAAAGCCAAGGGTTGAGTGGGAGCCAAACGCAACAGCACATATAATGTATATGAAGACTTCTGCATCAGTGTGGATATTGATAGAGGGTGAGATTGCACCACCAGAGTGGTTGTAAAAGTGAAGTTGAAGAAGTTTGCTATCAGTAATTGATAATCCAAGGACATAGCACCTCCAGGGCTGGTCGATGAGGGTTAGATATGCCTTAGTGTCCATCATCTTCCCAAGGTGGGGTGCTGGCTTGAAAGACTCCTTTGAGTACTCAGCAATGACTTTGGGACTTAACCATGTAATCTCATTGAGGGATACTGGGGTGTTATCAACAAGGATGAGGTTGGGCTTTTGGGAATAACCTGTAAAACTTCACAAGCTGGTTCCACTCCAGTCCACCATCCATTGATGCTGGGGTTTGCTGGATAGACTGGGCATTGTGGATTTGGCAGCAGTTCCAATAGCATTGAGAAACAGAGCAACTTGCTTTTCAAAGCAGAGCTTTTCTTATTCTACTGGCAGCTCTGAGGCAAGTGGCCTGGGTTGCTTGGGAGGTGAATCAGAGCCTGGGGGTGGATGAAGCACCCAGTGCCAGCACTTTCTATCATCATCGTATAGGCTGACCAGGCTGTCTTCTGACAAGCCACCCTGGTTGAAGGAGGTGGAATAGCTACAGACACATGTGGGAATTGTTTTCAGAGGGACAATCAGGGACCTGGGAGCTATGGAGGTAAATGTATCTCTGAAGGACTCGAAGATAATATTTGTAACATAACTGAGGCTCTGAGGAGAGCTAACTTGTATCCATGGTTCACAGATGATGGTGCTCTCAAGTTCTGAAGCAGTGAACTTGTCCATAACATGAACCATGTGGCCATGTTTGGGCAGGGGGAGAGAACCAATCAGCTTGTAGGTACCATCTATTGTTTGATATCTGTTTTTGTTCGAGTCTTTGGACATTTCTGAGGGTTGTTGACAAGTAGGGTCACACATTTGAAAATGGTGCCACCACTCAAAATACTGATGCATTTCAACATTAACATGTAATAAGCTCTGGTATACAGTAAGGTAACATGTATGTTGACTAGATGGGAGGAGAATCTGAACAACTTGGGGAAAAGTACATATTTTTGTCAAAGTATTTGTTGAGATAGAATTCAGTAGAATGCTCGAAGGAGTTGTATGCCATCAATCAATTATCTGCAGTTTGCCCGAAGCAAGGTATGAGATGTGCAAACACCTGGACCTGACTGAGCAGGATGACATCACCAAGACGTTGGCCATTCACTCTCTTTGCGCACCTAAGGATATGTAGGTGTGTTGCATCTTCAGCTGCTATGTCAAAACATTGTATGTAGACCAAAAAATGGTCTGTCTATGACCATCTTACCCCCCTCTTGCCAAAAGGGCGCATCAGGAGATGGAGCTGGCCAACAACATGACCTAAGATACTCTTGTGAGTGACATGGAAAAGTAGTGTGGACCATGAAGCTTTCAGGCCACTCTCTGGCCATTTGAAATGGGGGTCCACATTGATGATAGCTGCATCATAGCAGCCAAGGGTCCAGGTCTTGCAAGGTGGAGAACAGAAGAGAGTCTGGGCAGGGAGGATGTCTGTGATATCATGTATTGCTGTGTTCTGCAGCCACATCTTGTACCAAACCTGCAGATCAGTAAAAGGCAGGGTTGAAGAGCTTGATCCCCGATGTTGCCTGCTTATAGTGTGCACAGAGCTTGGTCCATACACCTTCTCACAATTTAGAAAATTGACAAGGGTGGCTCAGAGGTCAAGTAGTCCAAACTTCTCAGCAGCACCATCAACACTAATGCATTGCAAGGGTGGGTCATAGGAAAGGTTGATCACCATACTGTCTGTGATAAAAATATGCAAGGGGAAGGGAATGGAGTCTGCATCCTGGGTCCTGAGGCACACAGAGATGGAAAAGTAATCAGTGACCAGCTGTGTGGGACCTGGTGTCTTGGAAACTAGATTTGCCTCCTTGTGATCACTGATCTCACTGTCACCATCATCAGAACTCCCATCCTCAACCTCCAAGGACTTTTCTTCCACATGACAATGGGAGTGAGTCTTCGATTCATATAATGATGTTGTGAGTTCAAATGTCCTACATTTTTCAGTGCAATCGAGGTACCAGCAAATTTGAGGATCATAGTTATTGTTATTGCTAGCTGATGCAGGTGTCTTGATCTCCAATACATGGGCATGTTCAGTTACATTGGCAGTCCATTGGATGGTGACCCTGACATGCTTCACACTTGGTACAATGCTCTGCATGAGTTCTAACTTGGGGATGTGCCAATTGTTGATGGGCTTGTTTCCCTTACCATGTCATGCACTGTGATCAAGTATTGACTGCTTGTGTGCATGAAACTTGTCCAGTACAGAAGATATTATATGAAGATCATTGTCATCAATGCGGTAAGCTTGGACTTGGTATCAGAAGTCCATGAGCACATGAATAGCAGTAATAATTTTGGGAGGGGCTGCTCCAGTGATAACACTGATGATGTAACGTTGGACATCATGGTGCACACATCCAGTCACCTGTTTCGGCTTAGCAACACCACCTTTAAAGTGATGGAACCCTGCAGTGGGCTGTAAAACTGCGAAGCAAAAGTTGATTTTGGCTTCACCAACTGCATTTATGCACCACTTCATGTCATGGTCCCAAAATTCCTTGTGCAGGTGGTGAAGGGGCTCCAGAGTTATAAAAGTGCTTGGACAAGAAAGTGGAATGTCCCTCCAAAATGGGTCACTAACTCTGCTGAGGCGAAAGCACTGTGCTTTGCAAAAGAAGACTTGGATGTTTGTAGGGTGGACCTTCGATTTCACCACTGTGAGCTGAGCCAGAGTGGTGGACATGGTTTGTGGCTCATGTTGGAATGGGTCTCTGAACTGTTTGTGCATTGCCATGGTGATCAGGGAAGTCTTTCCCCCAACAGCTGCAAGCATGGCAGCCTTGGGAGTGTTGGTGATATAACCTGTGATTGGTGTGAAACAGTACAGTATCATGCCAAGAAGAGTCACTCCGCTTGGAAGCTGTGACTGGGGTATGTTAATTGAATAAAAGGATGTATAACTTGCAGTGGAAACATACCTGCATATGCCAAGCATCATCAGTGGTCATCCACTCTGTATACACCCTACAAAGCTTCTCAGGCATATTGTATACATGCCTCAGAATGAAATTGAGCTGGTCAGAGAACAAAGGGTGGTTGAGAAGCCATGCAATGCATTCCAGGGGATTGTGCCAGTACAAGTGCGCAGGATGTTTGGTTGGCTGCAAAGGAGTAATCTCCATTGAGCACTAGTGTGGCCCACCAGGGAGTAACTCAGCCAGCCCACGAAGTGCTCTGGCTGTACAAAAGGAAATATTTAGTAGCTGTATCTGGTGCACATCAATAATGATCTTTGGAGAGAATAGGGACAGGCTTATGATTGACGATGACAAGAAAGAGTCTATAGCTCTCATGCTCAGGCCTGAACAAAGTAACCACAATGCCAGCTCCCATTCATTGTGGGAGTTGAAGGGGTAGTACAGATTTGATGCCTGTAGGTTGCTGAACTGGTTGCCATTAAATTTGTCCATAAACGTTGGGCCAAGTCCAAACATTTTAGCTGCTCCCTCAAAGTCATCTGTGGTTGGCCCCCACGTGTCAAATGCCATATGAACAAAATCCAGGTAATCATGAGTTGCATAGTCATCAGGGTTGGTGCTCATCGGGACATCTTCTAAGTGTGTTGGGTGTTGAGAGTTATGAATGTTCAAGCTTGAAGGTTGGAGAGACTTGTGAAGGTGGACTAAGTTATTGACCCAGGTATTGCACCCAGAGGATGGCTGGCTCACATGCATTGTGACAGTGCTGTGACTCTGGAAGCTGCCTTTACTGCAACTTGGACAATGGGGCATACTCTAGATGGTCAGGAAGGCCAATTCTGTGTTACATGATTATCACTTCAGTGTGAATCAGGACATTGTTTGGATCACTATGGAGTGCATTTCTCATATACTACCCAATCACATCCCATTCACGAACATAGTCACTCATGTCCATTTATAACCTCAATCACACACACCTTCATGCTGGATTGACCATGCCCACAGTCAAGCATCACCTGGGCAGCAAAGGACTGCCCCATAAGCCTCGTGATGGCGGGTTCTCTTCCTGCAACAGTCCCTCTAGCAGTGCTGAGGTCAAAGCAGAGACAACTGGTGTCTTAGCTGAGATGTATGGAATATTGGAGTTGTCCACTCACACAGTAAGTTCTTTTTTTCCTTCCTAATAACCACTCATTGATAGGTTTTCAATCTGCAGCATGAATCAAAGAGTCAGCTGAATCATGAGGCACTTCTCCTTCTCAATGTAGTGCATGCACAGCACAAAGTCTTTCATGCAGAACAAGCTCTGGCTGCATGCGTTGCCCACAAATACAAATTGATGGCCAAGTTGTACAAGTACAAGGCAGGCAGTGGCAAGGCAAGAGTCCATGAAAAAGATATGGAGGTCGGCTCATTACGTGTAGCAATGAAAAAACATGGACTGGGGGAGCCTATTTTCGATGTTAGTGTTCTGGCCAGTGAGCTGCAGCCATCTCTCGAGTCTGATGGTATGCTATGCTCGCTCTTTTCTTTTGGGCCACTATTTTACTTATGCTGGATCTTGATAGGCACAGTTATTGAGCATGCTGGTAGTTGAATACTTGCCATTCATCTAGACTAGTACTATCCATTACTTTCCTGTACTTATCAAAAAATGCTGTATGCTATGTCTGTGTGTTGTTGCCTTCATGCATAGGATCAAAGTTAGATCTACCAAGTTCTCTACTACAGTGGGAATCTACGTAGCTGTATTAGCTAGGTGTGTCTTTTCCCTTGTATGCTAGGTAGCTATTGGTCTTTGGATTGCTGGTATCACTGGTGTGGCTTACTCAGGTGCTATGAGTTGCTTGGATGCTGGCCACTACTTTGGGCAAGTCTGGTGTAGTCTACTCTGGCACTATGAGTTGCTAGGATGCTTGACATTGCTTTAGACTAATATGGAATTGTGCAAATACTATGGGCAGCTATGAGTTACTAACACATTTTTGTGTTTTGCTGATGGAGCCCATGTACAGTGGGGTGGTAATCAAGTTCAGTAGCAACTTTGAAGGTGCATGATCTTCCTCAGCACTGACATATTCTGAAGCTGATCATACTGTCCCCTTAGGTTCATCTGAGTATATACAGCTCAATGCATTGGCAATGACATTTGTCTTGCCTGGTATATGTATGATCTCAAAGTCAAAATCTCCCAACATTTCGAGCCACCTGGCTTGCTGCAGGGACAGCTTTCATTGTGTCTGGATCCATTCAAGTCCCTTATGGTCTGTGAATATGCAGAATTCCACAGTGAACTGTGGCATGCCAGCCACTCCAAAGTAAATGTTGGAGCAAACTGTGGCACATGTGTTGGAGCATGCCATGGCCCTCTGGAGCACACTGTGGCACATGTGCCAGAGCAAACCATAGTATTCCAGAGCACTCCAGAGCATGCCATGGCCCTCTGGGGTGAGCTGCAGCATATGTTCCAAAGTGAACTGTGGCATGCCAGCCACTCCAAAGCAAATGCTGGAGCAAACTGTGGTACATGTGCTGGAGCATGCCATGGCCCTCCAGGGTAAGCTGCAGCATATGTTCTGAAGCAAACTGTGGCATGCCAGCCACTCCAGAGCAAATTCCAGAGTAAACTGCAGCACATGTGCCAGAGCATGCCATGGCCCTCCAGAGCACACTGCAGCACATGTGCCAGAGCATACCATAGCATTCCAGACCACTCCAGAGCAGGCCATGACCCTCTGGAATAAGTTGCAGATTATGTTCCAAACCAAACTGTGGCATGGCAGAAACTCTGGAGCAAATTCTGGAACAAACCATGGCACATATGCCAGAGCATACCCATAGCATTTTGGAGCACTCTGGAGTAAACTGCAGCACTGACCTACATTGGCCACCCTTTGGCAGTGACCCCTATACATTAGCCAGCCTTGGCACAGCCCCTATCTCATTGGCCTCCATCAGCCATCCTTCAGCAGTGACCCCTGTACATCAGCCAGGTCTTGACAGTGCCAAGCCATGCTACACCATGCCAAGCTCTACTGTCAGCTCTGAGTGCCATTCACAGTGCTGCATAGCCATATAGTACTCTGAAATACTACAGGTTGTCTGCAGAATGGCAGAACAGGACAGACACTTGGTAATGAAACTACAGGCACTGAATGATATAGGAAACAATGCTAGTGGCATGGTGCACTACCAAAATGTTGGTAATCAACTAGTAGACCCTGCTACACTTGTGATCAAAAGTGCAGACACTACTACAGTTGTGGTAATGAAACATGTAGACACCACTAACAGCATACTGCAATACTAGTAAAATAGCAGACACTAATAAATTGTTGGTAATCAACTAGTGGACCCTGCTACACTTTTGGTAATAAAAAGGGTGCACACTGGTAATCAAACTGTGGGCAGTGCAGCATGCTCTGGCACATGTGCTGCAGTTTGCTCTGGAGTGTCAGCATGGTACAGAATGCTCCCAAACATATGCTGCAGTTTACTCCAGAGGGCCATGGCCTGCTCCAGAGTACTCTGGAATGCTATGGTATTCTCTGGCACATGCACCACAGTTTGCTCTTGAATTTGCTCCAGAGTGTCTGCCATGCCACACTTTGGTTCAGAACATATGCCAAAGCTTACCCCAGAGTGCCATGGCCTGCTCCAGAGTGCTCTGGAATGTGATGGTATTCTCCAGCACATGTGCCACAGTGTGCTGTGGAATTTGCTCTGGAGTGGCTGGCATGCCACAGTTTGCTTCAGAACATATGCTGCAGCTCACCCTGGAGGGCCATGGCCTGCTCTGGAGTGCTCTGGCACATGTGCTGCAGTGTGCTCTGGAATTTTTGCCAGAGTGGCTGGCATGCTGCAGCTTATCCCAGAGGGCCATGGCATGCTCTGGCACATGTGCCACAGTTTACTCTGGAATTTGCTCTGGAGTGGCTGGCACACCACACTTTGGTTCAGAACATATGCCACAGCTTACCCCAGAGTGCCATGGCCTGCTCCAGAGTGCTCTGGAATGCCATGGCATGCTCCAGCACATGTGCCACAGTTTACTCCAGAATTTGCTCTGGAGTGGCTGGCATGCCACAGTTTGCTTCAGAACATATGCTGACACTTACCCTGGAGGGCCATGGCATGCTCCAGAGTGTTCTGAAATGCTATGGTATGCTCTGGCATATGTGCTGCAGTTTGCTCTGGAACTTGCTCCAGAGTGTCTGTCACAGCTTACTCTGGAACTGGACATACTGTGTAGTCATGTTGGGCTGCACTATGTACAGGATGCTGATCTGACCTGGGCTATGCCATATATGTCCCTATCACATGGTGATATTCTATTTGAAGCCTCTCCATGTGACACCTAAAAATATAACTGCAGCTGATTTGTCTATCATGCATGACAATACAATTGTAGCTGATCCTGAATGACACATGACAACATAGTTACAGCTGATCCCTACATTATGCTGACAACTTGTAGGTTGGCTTGACCTTGGCTGGCCCATGTGACATGGCCTAACTAGGTACATGTGCTCCTGGAGTAATATGGATCTGCTCATAGGCATCCTTGCCATCAAGTAAAGATCTGTATGGATGTGATACTATGTTACAGAGGATTGCCTCCATGTCTGGCAGTGGAGATGCAAGCTTCCTTGTGTTGGTGTTTCATTCCATTGTATCAATTACTGTTCATAGTCTTAGTGATCCATCCTTTGTGGCATTTTTAAGCATTAGCATTGGGATTGCATTCGTACCACTGCTGAACTCCCAATGTCTGGTTCAAATATAATCATCATGCTTTGAGGACCAAAGGGGCTTAAGAGGTTCAGGGCGATGAGATGGTTGCCATGAATATAGTTTATTTTTGTCAATCAATGGAATAACATGGTTAATATCATGGAGAGGGGGAAGGGGGGTTTTGATGGCTTCTTTGCATATATCCCTCACATACACTCTTAGTTCCTTTTCATCTGCCAGCAGCTCAGCTGCATGTGACTTGAGTGCAATTGTTTGTGGTCCTCAGATTGGCAGTGAGTTATTGCTGAAAACAGTGATCTGAGACAGGTTAAACCCAAGTAACACTTGGTGTTGAAATAGGAATGGCATACCTAAGATTAGGTCATATGAGTTGACGTTTGCAACATCCAGTACATGCTTCTCATGAATATCATGGTACTTTCATGCAGGAATATGGAAGATGCTTGAGGGAGATACTTTATTCAAGGGCACTTTGCCCTCTCAGTGAGTCTTTTTGGCATTTACAGCTGCTGGTGATCCTGATTGTTTCATGGGTTTAATGCTCAGAGTTGTATAGTTCCTTATTGCATGGGTATTACTTATTTCAACCCTTCCAAGGCTGTTGCCTACTTGGGCCATACTTTCTTTCTGTTCAGCACTGAGTCCTGATTGTCCCAGGTTCATAGACTCATACTTATTATGACAATTGAATGAGTCAATAATTGCTTGTTGTTCATGGATCAATGCCTTGGCACTGTCAAGCCACTCAACCAGGCTGGCTTCCTTTAGTTTTTTGATCATGTACTTGGGTGTTTTCATTTGTTCCTCTTGTTCCAAGACAGAATCCAAGGTGTGGACTTCTACAGGGTGTTCTATCACAGACTTGCAAGGAGTGGGCACTTTCCACTTCTCCTTTACTTCTGCAGTAAGTCTCAGTACACTTGTGTCTGAAATGGATTGACCATGGTTCATAATTCCAGGCTGGTCATTCTCATCTGTGACTGCTGGATTCCCAAACCACTGTGGTATGACTTTCCTTAATTCTTTGTTGTTCTTGATGAGATCTGACCACAACACCTTAGGGCTATGTTTATTTTCATTCTTAGTTTTCACTTTGGGTTCATTGTGCATCCAGGCAGGCCATCTATTCTGGTCTAACAAGACAGAAGTCAGGACTAGCAAAACATTGCTACAAGCAGGCAATTGTGGCTTAACAAATTCATTGCTATCTGCATGTGCTACACTATCCACTCCAGTCACTGCTGGGGGGTCTGGGGCACAGCCTTGCAGCATGCTCCCAAGTTCACAGACTGGCTGTATGACAGCTCTACTTGGCATGTCACTCACATCATTGATGTGGCCTTGGGCATCACCCAGTGTCCTAACAGGTTCTACAGACCTGTGAACTAGTGGAGAGGTCATATCATTGGGTGTGGTCTGATAATTGTAATCAACCCCCCTCACAACCCCTCCAAACTGGATCAAACCAACCTGTTCTGGCTCAATGGCCCAGAAATGGCACCAAATTTCTTTGTTTATTGCTTTCAGGTTAAAAGGAGAAGAAATAAGCATAAAAGTTTGATGTTGCTACTATGCACCAGTTGGCCAGACCAATAGCAAGTGGGTGATGTCAAGATCAAAGGTGGGTTAGGAGAGTAGAAGAGAGATTAGAGGCAGTTCAAAATATGTGACAAAAGTGACTTCATTTAAGTCACATGGGGGTAGTCCATTCTCATTGGAGTAAGTCTTACAGTCACTCAGGAAGAACTGGCCAAAAGTCTCTGTTTGAGGTAGACTGGGGGAGTGCACATCAGTATCTATGGTTTATATATGTCCAGAGTGTGGTGGGAGACAAACAAGTAGCTAAAAGAGGGAGACATAAAGAAAGAGAAAGAAAAGGAAAACACATTATTGGAGGTTTACAATCATGAACTGTTACAAGGATTGTCTCTGGCTCTGTTGACAAGACTGTGAGGTGTTACATTTCACCTTGCTTTTTCCCTTGTCACTGTACATTTACCATGTGTTTGATCCATTGGACTACTTTTCTTTTTCAAGCCATCTTCTCTCTGATCTGACAGCTCACTATTTCCACCACCAGTGTTTCCCACTTGTTACATGCTTAGGACATGTGTCACTATTGTTCAACCAATAGTGTAGTCACCTTATTACATGTGGATGCCTCATGGTCCATCTCCTTGTAGTATTTAGCTTGCTGGCTCAAGTTCTGGAACCCCAGACTTGAGCTGCTCAATCATATGCAGCATTCTCACTCAGAACTTTGCCCTCAGTGTCCCTAACCAGGACCACTCTTACTGGCATTGACCAAATCCTTTGTCATTTATGAAGGTTACTGTAGCCATTGCTCAGTAGAAACCCTCAGTCTGTGGCTGAGCTCTCCTTATGCCTCAACTTCAGTCTTGGCATAACAAAAGCTCAAGTCTAACAGCCTTTGGCTGAATTGGTCACTGTTTATTGCACCACCACAAACCCCCAAAACAACTGACATTGGGCACCATTGTGACCCACACAAGAAGAATTGTCATCAGACAAAGAACAGGAGAGCACTGTCACAGACACCTCCTCCAATGAACCTGAACAACTGGATAGAGGATTTACTTCTGGTATCCTCTCAAACCTCTTTAACCAGTCTCTCACTATGCTTGGTACTCCCATCCCACTGGTACCTCCCCCTGTCACACTTCCCAGAACCCCAACCTCACCCACAATGTCTGGTTCATCATTGAAGGCAATGACTGGCACTACTGCTGTCAAAGCCACCAAATTGAAGAACAGTGCCCCATCTGACTTTGATGGTGAGAGCTGGCTGTACTCAGTCCAGATGTACCTTATGGTAAATGAAGAAGTCCATGACATGGACACCAAAAAGGTTGTCTACATGCTGTTGTACATGAAGAAAGGGGTTACTCACTCTTGGGCAGCAACCTTCCAGAAAACATCTCTGGAAAAGAATCCCCCAAGTTTTGGCTCCTTCACCAACTTCAAGAAAGAGTTTAAAGACTCATTCACCTCTCCTGACACTGCTGGTACTGCCATCACCAAGCTATGTACCATGAAACAGAAAGACTCAGTGGAACAATACATCACCAACTTCCAAACTGCTGCTGCCAACTCCACCATCATGGAGGATGTCACTTTGATTGAGTTCTTCTCACAAGGACTTAAACCTTTCATTGCAAACCATATCCACATGATGGAAACCACTCCCACCAAAATCACAGAATGGTACACCCAAGTGCAGAAGTTTGATGCTAAATGGAGAAAAGTGAATGCACTATCTGGAAAGAAAGAAAAGAGAATGTTCTATCCAAAGAACAATCTCAGATCCAAACACCATGGACATGGATCAAGTGAGACTCTCCAAAGAAGAAAGAGACTGTCACATCAAAGAAGGAAGTTGTGGAAACACAGGACACCTCTCTCAAGAATGTCCTGACAAAGGGAGGACCCCCTAGAAGAAGGTCAAGAAAATCTGAAAAATTGTGGAAGTTGAAGAAAGCAATGACAAAGAAAAAGTTGCTAGTCCTTCTGTCTCCTTAGTCAATATTGCTAGGGCACTAGGAAAGGATTTTTAGAAGGGAACTCCATGTTGATGCCAGATGTTCCCATTGCTAAGGACAGTTCCCCTTCTGTGGCACCTGTACTAGTATCTTCCACCCCAGATCACACTATGCAAATCCCTGTTACCCTCTACACATCAGAAGGAACTGGAAAAGTCATCAACACCATCACACTGGTTGACTCCAGTGCTGAAATTTCATGCATTGATTGGGGATTTGTGTGAAAGCATTGAATCCCTACTCAATGACTTGCTGAACCCATCCTTGCCAAAAATGCAGATGGAACCCAGAATTCCAAGGGAAGGATTTTGTTCTCCACCACCCTGTATTTCAAAATCAAAGGACTCATTCATCAGTCCTTCTTTTACATTGCCAACTGTGGATCAGAGAACATTATTCTCAGCCTCCCTTGGCTACAAGAAAACAATCCCATCATCAATTGGAGAATGGGAACCCTCTCCATTGATGAAAAGACCAACAGGTCCAAAGAACTAAGATGCAACATCTCTTCTGTTGCTGTTGCAGAACCCACCATAAACCTTGTGTCCCCCATTGAAAAGAAAGGGATAAACAATTTATGGACTATGAAGAACCCAAAGACAAGATGATCCATGCCCACTTTGTTATGGCATCAGGAAAACTCACCAAAGAGGCTAAGAAGGTTAACCCCAAGAATAGCCTTCTTCATAAAATCACTATGGCCACTGAGTTGGCCCAAGAAGAACACAAGAAGAAACCAAAGGCTGTTCTCCCTGAAGACTATAAAGACTTTGCCTTGGTTTTTGAGAAACCTTCCAATGGAGTACTACCTCCATCACAACCCTATGACCATGCCATAAACCTGGTTGACAACTTTGTCCCAAAGGTGGCAAAAGTGTATCCACTCTCCCCTTCTGAACAAGAGTCTGTGGAGAAATTTATAGAAGAAAACCTTTGAGAGGGTAAAATCCACCCCTCGAAGTCTCCTCAAGCAGCACCCTTCTTCTTCATAGGAAAGAAAGATGGCTCCCTTCATCCTTGCCAGGACTATTGATATCTGAATAAAAACACTGTGAAGGATATGTACCCCCTTCCCCTCATCTCAGATCTTGTTGACAAACTCAAGGGAGCATCTATCTTCACAAAGATGGATGTGAGATCAGGCTACAACAACATCTGTATCAAGGAAGGAGACCAATGGAAAACTGCATTCATCATGCACAAAGGACTTTTCAAACCAACCATTATGTTCTTTGGACTGTGCAACTCTCCTGTCACCTTCCAGCAATTCATGAACAACTCTTTCTGAGACATGATTGCTGAAGGATGGCTGGTCATCTACATGGATGACCTCCTCATTTTCTCCACTGACCCTGAGGAACATAAACAGAGAACTCATCATGTTCTCAAATGTATGAGGGAGTTGTCCCTTCCCCTCAAACTGGAAAAATGTCATTTTGATCTAACTGAGGTGGAATACCTTGGAATGATCATCAAAGAAAACACCATTGCCATGGACCCTGTCAAGGTCCAAGGCATTGCTGAATGGCCTGTCCCAAAGAAGGTCAAGGATGTATGGTCCTTCTTAGGGTTTGCAAACTTCTACAGAAGATTCATCCCTTATTACTCAGATATCACCAGACCCCTAATTGACTTCACCAAGAAAACAACTGCTTTGGGGTGGTCAAAGAAATGCCAAAACACCTTTGAACTCCTGAAAAGAATTGCCATGGCACAACTGACCCTCTGAATGCCTGATTCCTCTCAACCATTCATGATTACCACTGACACATCCAAGTATGCAACTGGAGGCATTCTCCTTCAAGAAGATTCCAATGGCCAGCATCAGTAAATCACTTTTGCTGGCCAGAGCTGTCCAGAGCTGTCCAGCACTGGACAGATTCCCTAGGACTACCAGCTCACAAAATGGTCTACTGATGAGTGGCAACCCTGTGCCTTCATTTCCCAGTCATTCAACCCCATGGAAAGAAATTATGACATCTACAACAGAGAGTTACTAGGGGTCATTCAAGGATTAAAATCCTGGAGGCATTATCTTCATGGATCCCCCTTCCTAGTCAAGGTCTTCACTGACCACAAGAACTTGACCTATTTTAAAGCACCCCAGAACTTAAATCATTGCCAGGCCTGCTGGCTCCTCGACCTTGCAGACTTTGATCTGCAACTTGAACATGTCCCAGGCAAAAACCTGGCTGCTCCCAACACACTCTCCCACTGACCTGACCACCTCCCTGACAATGATGAAGACAACAAAGGGGTTACACTCCTTCTGCAAACTACATTTGTCAATCTCATTGACACAAACCTTACCCAGAAGGTTGCATCTTCCTCAATGACAGACCCTGTGGTCCAGACAGCACTCCACACCATCAAAAACATCAACATGCTGCTTCCTTTCAAATCCCACCTCTCAGATTGGAAATTTGACAATGGAGTACTACTCTATAAAGACCAGGTGCATATCCCTGACAACCCCACCCTCCAACAGACTGTTGTGCCCAACCACCACAATCATCCCTCTGCAGGACACCCTGGTGTTTTGAAGACCTGACAATTCATTTCATCTGAGTTTTGGTGGCCAGGACTTGCTTCCTTCATCTGAAAATACATAGAAGGCTGTGCTACATGCCAGCAAAATAAAGTAAACACACACCCAATGACACCTCCCCTTACACCCATCCCCTTGACCTTGACCTGCCCCTTCCAACAGATCTCTTGCAATCTGGTTACCAGCCTCCCCCTTTCAAAGGGTTATGATTCTGTCTTGGTCATGGTAGACCATGGGCTTACAAAGGGGGTAATTTTAGCACCAACAAAGAAAACTGCCTCTGCTGCTGACCTCACAGCACTCTTTTTCAAGAAGGTCTACTCCCATTTCAGGTTGTATGACAAAATCATATCTGACAGAGGCCCCCAATTCACCTCAACATTTCCCAAAGAACTCGCTTCCCTTCTGGGATACTCCCTTGCCTTATCAATGGCCTACCACCCTCAGACCAATAGAGAAACTGAATGTGTTAATCAAGAGGTCGAGACTTACCTCTGCATCTTTTGCCAGGATGACCCCACCTTGTGGGTGGATAACTTCCCTATGGCAGAATTTGCACATAATCACTGCCCCCACTCTGTCACCCATCAATCACCATTCTACCTCATGTACAGCTATGAACTGAAACCCCTTCCATCTCTTGTCATGGAAACCCACCTTCCCACTGCTGAGTCTAGACTTGAGGAGAAGCCCTTGTGGTACATGATCTGGCCAGAAAGGTAATGAAAGACCACTTGTCATGACCCTTCACCCCATTCCAAAAAGGTGATAAGGTTTGGCTGGAAGCCTGGAACCTCAAATGTTCCTATGAAAATAGAAAGCTTGCCCCAAAATGAGAAGGACCCTTTACCATCTCTGGTGTCCTATCTCTGATCACCTATTGCCTTGTGATCCCTGTATGATGGAAGATCCACAATGTCTTCTATGCCTCCCTCTTATCTCCCTATCACAAAAATGATGTCCATGGACTGAACTTTCCAGCTCCACCACCTGACCTTGTCAACAAGGAGGAAGAATATGAAGTTGAGGCAATAGTCAGCCATAAAAGGTCTGGCCATGGACATGCCTTTTTAATAAAATGGAAGGGTTACCCTTCCTCCAAAAACTCATGGCAGAAAGAAGCTCACCTTGAACACGTGGATGATATGCTCTCTGCATATAAGAAATGCTTCCCAAGGGACTTCCCCCCTCAGAAACCACCTACTCAATGATCTCCTCATACTGTCAGAACCATCCTTTTTGAAATGCCTCCTCATCATTATGTTGGAGTTTATCACTTTTACCTTAGTTGTGGTTCACCGAGCACAGAATTACGTAATCCAAAAGCAGACACTTAGCAGTTTATTTTTTTCCTTGCTGCACCTCAGCTTCAACCAACTTGAAGTCTGAGTATATTCCTCTCTATAGACTTCACAATCCTGCAGCTCATCATCCTCCAAAACATTACACCTACCCTCATGAACCCTCTCATCATCATGCCCCCTTCACTTGTCAACAGTGACAGCCCACTAGCAATCAAATGGTCACTTCTTATCACCTCTTCATTGCTGACCCCACTGTCATTGGCACCATCTATCATGAAGTCAACAAAAATTCCCCTCTTGATTTGGTTTATCATGCCACTATCCAAGCCCTTCAGCTTGAGGAACTGTCCCACTACATCAACTGACAGAACCCTCTCCTGTCCCCTGCATGAACCACCTTGCATGAGATTGTGTATGAGCAGGTTCCCCTGCTCTTAAGACTTTTTGATGTCCTTGGAGGTACTGCCCTCATTTATAATGTTCACCAATACCCCACACTGATCACTCCCCCTCCTCCCAGGTCTTGAAGACCCCTGACCACAACCTCTCCTCCAGTTTTGCCCATGTCATCCTCCCCTCTGGCATCATCACCATCATCCTCCCAATCATCCTGCTCTCTCCAAAGAGCTGACAGACCTCATGCCTGCTGCCTGTCTGACCCCAACCCCCAACCCCCAACCATGTGAGTCTCATGACTCATCTTCACCATCCATAGTCAACCCAGAGGTTGCTTTTGGTGTCTCAAGAGCCAAACTTGAGTATACCCTAGGCCAGATCAAGATCCTTGCCAAGTTACCACCTTTCCCTGTGCTAAACACACTTACCAAGGCCGATTGCCCTCCTACCCCATCCGATCCATGCTATCATCAAGCATGCTATGTTTGTCACTGCCTCAGGCACATTAGGGTCAACTGTGGCCTCTATGAATGCCCCCTTTGTCACACTACCCATCCTGGACATACCCAAGCTCAATGTCCATCTCTTCATCCTCATTGGCTGTTACAAGAAAGAATTGCCACCCCTGCTTTGGTGGATGATCATACCCTCATTGGGAGTGAGGATAACAATTTGTATGACAATGACTTTGACTTTGACAACTCTGCCATCAGTAACATGACTGGGGAGCCTTATGGAGAGTAGTTGAAGTCAGGGACTTCAATGCTTAGAAGGGGGGTAATGTTATGTTTCACCTTGCTTTTTCCCTTGTCACTGTACATTTACCATGTGTTTGATCCATTGGACTACTTTTCTTTTTCAAGCCATCTTCTCTCTGATCTGACAGCTCACTATTTCCACCACCAGTGTTTCCCTCTTGTGACATGCTTAGGACATGTGTCACTATTGTTCAACCAATAGTGTAGTCACCTTGTTACATGTGGACACCTCATGGTCTATCTCCTTGTAGTATTTAGCTTGCTGGCTCAAGTCCTGGAACCCCAGACTTGAGCTGCTCAATCATATGCAGTGTTCTCACTCAGAACTTCACCCTCAGTGTCCCTAACCAAGACCACTCTTACCAGCATTGACCAAATCCTTTGTCATTCACAAAGGTTACTGCAGCTGTTTCTCAGTAGAAACCCTCAGTCTGCAGCTGAGCTCTCCTTACACCTTGACTTCAGTCTTAGCATAACATGAGAGTTTGGGACACTCAGAGTTATGTTGAAATGATTTGTATCCAAGAATCATTTGAACCACCTCCAAACAATCCAAAGAATGTATGTCTCTTGCCTTCCCCTGCAAATGGTGAGTATTTCTCATATCTTATGGATCTCAGTTATACTCAAACCACTCAACATACTCAATATGTTTTTCCTCCATGTCTTCTTTTGCATTGCATGATGCTGGGCAGCTGCTTGATGGTCTCCAGGATGCACATGCCAGTGTTAGGGATGAACCTGTGCAACTTCACAATGATGGCTGGTTGAAGGGCCCTAATGGAAGGTTGCTGCTATGGATTCCTGTATCACTCAGGGTGCCCTTTTACTCAGCATGGAACACAGCAGTCATCCCCATTGGGTGCTGTGTGGAATTAGATTTGAGTCAAATGGTACATGGCACCAAATGGCATCAATGTTTCAAGTCTGTTGAGAATTGGTCTTGACTTTCCATCCATGTATATCCTTTTACTTCTCTACTTTGTTTTTGAAAAATGAAGATCATAGGTCCATTCCTCTGAATTTTACACCAGGAAACCAATACTTGGATGTGAAGGATAAGATTTACAATTTTATCATGCACTGCATATGCAAAGGTCACTTAGTTAATTTTGTGAAATACTAACTATCCTGCATGCACACCCATACAGCAGGATGCCATCCTGAAATCTCTCTGTCCAAGCATATGCACAAGTGTTTTCACCATTAATACAGATCATTGTGTCCAATCATATAAGTAGAAGTAGATGAAAGTGAGGAGGGGAAGGTGTATGCTTTGACGAGGGAATGCAGACAATGGCACATACATCTACTACCAAGAAAGAACATGCTACATCTCAACACTGGCCCATCAAGATTCATATCATCACAAGGACCACGAAGCCAATGCTCCTTGTAGGAATGTAATGGGACCATTGGCATGACATCATTGCAACAACTGGTCACATCACTTCCACTACTTCCACTATGTACAGCACATAGACACTTGTAGGTTTTGTCTACAGCAATCCTAATGAAAGTGAAGATATCAAGATCATTGAGGCATCCTCATACCATTCTTCCCATCTCCAGTAGTTGAGGCTTACAAACATCTTCCGATGCCTGCAGGTCCTGAACTCCATCCCCAGTCCCAAATGCAGCGCCCATCCCTACACGAGCCTTCACATCCTCCCCGGTCTCCACGAACGAGACCGTCATTCTGCCCTCCCTTCCGGAAGATACTGACGCGGAGCCCTGCCTCCTCCCTGTATCCAAAATCCCTGGCTCTGCCATCCCTACATTGCCTCTCCTTATCTCCACAATGGCACTCCCCTCCCTTTCCCTCCAACTTCGTACGCCCTGCTCACCCCACCCCTTTATGTGCCACCCCGTTCTCACGACTTGTTGCCTCCAAATATCAACGGCCCTCATTATCCACCCACCCAGACCCCTCTCCACTGCCACCCATACTGGCCATGCTACTAGCACAGCGACAAGGATGATTCCAGGCGTCGTCGTTGCGAGTGTAGGAAGGTAGGTCGAACTATAGATGAGGTAGAGGAATGCAACGAGGAAGGACGTCATGCTATTTTATCGCGTTACAGCCAAATTGTTAGTCAGAATCGCCAACAAGAAAAAGTACAAGGAATGAAACGGAAGTGGACAGATACAGATAGGTGAATACGCACCCCCATATCAATAACCCAAATGGGACACTGAACATGATAGCCATATGATCTACACCGATCACTGTGTCCGTTATTTCATTCATGTACTTTGCCTATCACTCGTCCACCGATTAGCACTGAATTAACCCAAAGAGAGCCAAAAAAAAGGGTTCGAGGAACAGCATCCAATCGACCAAAGGCCCAGCCAAAATGATAACAGGACGAACTGAAAAACTCACCACCTCTTCCGCATTCTCCGCTTTATCTCTCCACATACCCGTCAATACCACGGACGCCACGATCGACCCAACAGTACAAATCACCGACACGTATATCGCGATCACAGTTACTGACTGGTACGTCTTCGAATCGGAATCGGCGATGCCAAGGAGAGATATATCGACCGCTAACATCACAGTGGACTGTGGGTTTGGCAGTTGAGCACACGGTTTATTCGGTTTGATTGAAGAGAGAGAGAAACACATACGTAAATCGTAAATCCTCCCCATTCATCAATAACACGGGCCACGAATGCTTTCCATCTCGGTAGGTTCACTGTCTCATCTACCCACACGCCTCTCAGGGTTTCGACGTACCTCCAGGGCGCGCCAAACAGGAGAAAGGAGAGCAAGTGCAAGAGGAAGGACGTGCGTAGTCTATGGTTGCGTGGGTAGTAAATAGAGTGGTCGACGTCTAAGCGGGCACAGGGTTGGCCGTGGAAGTTCAAAAAGTGGATTCGAGCTATGAGTGTACGGTCGGGAAATTGTCAATGCGTTAATTGGAGGAGGTAAGGTATGAGAATGTCGTGGACAGAGGAGAACGGTCGCACAGAATATACACATGAATCGAGCTGGTGACCGCGTAAGCTCGAGGATCTCGCCAATGACCTTCGGCTCACCTACTACACACATGACAGGATCGTTGACTTGTCCAACTGAATCTGCACTGGACAGTAAGCAATGAACAGTACAAACGTTCAAAATGAGAAGGACACGGGAGCAAACCTTGAAGAATGCGCACGATGTCCATCATCTTGGACAGTTCTGCGCTTTCGAACGGCGCAAGAGACGTATCGGAAGTGATTGATTCTGAAATTTGATTAGCGCCATTCAATCACGATGGACGGTGATGTGCCCACCAGCGTTAGCATGAATGACCAAGCCATACAACTCTCGATAGACGGCGGCATCAAACGTTCGCTCGCGCGGGTACAGTTCACAATGCGTCCTTTTCCAAACTCAAAAGTCAGCTTCCAGCGCACGACACACCGAAACGCCTACACGCACCAATACTGCATCTCGAGCGCCATTTCTGTATTTACAATTGCCGCATATCACACAGCATCACACACGTGAGCTGGCTTCGAATCCGTACGGTATCATACTCACTGATATGGCTTTGTTTCTTGACACCCCTCAAGTTCGCATACATCTTTTCTGGCACCCAACCATGAACCCAAAAGAGGAGTCTCTTCTCGGTATCGACAAAATAATATCGACATTCTTTTCGACTCTTTCCATTTGCAAGTTCAAGGACGAGTTCGAGCGACGGAGATGAAGGTGGGGAGGGGAAAGTGATAGAGTGAAATGCAGCGAGCTCAGAGAGGCGGGAAATGCATTTTTCGACGGTTCCCAATTTTTTGGGATTGCGCACGTCGGGTGTCGGTGTATATTCGCTGGTGTGATGTTAACAAGGTCAGAAAGTGAGGTGAGACAAGGTGGATGATATGAATCGGTTGCCTACACGTTGAATGTCACAGAAGTAGGGAGCACCTTCTGGGTGCGTGCACACCTTCCAACCTGTGGAACTAAGATCTGATGGACTGTTCCGCGATGTCAGTGAAACAGTATATAGGCGTCGATGGGTAACGAGGGCGTACTGCTCAAACGATCTTTGTGCAGCGTCAATCCATGGGAATTCCTTGTCCGGAGGTCTTAGCCATACGTATGAACTTCCACGTATAGATGACGGTACACAGAATGGAACACATACATAAATTCTCCTCTGTTGTATCTGTCTATTTCAGAGGCAGTGAATGGAGTGAACATCCTTGTCGATAACTTTCCCGTAGTAGTCGCGGATTGTGAAGATAATGGCACGGACGACTCCATGGACAGGTTGAGGATCGTCGTGCTAGTAGATGCTGTACATTTCTGTATCGCATGCCGGTCAGGGAACAAAGCCGTAGTGCTTAGTCATCACTACTACCTTCTTCCATGTCTACCCAGGAGGAACAGCTGATCGAGCTCATGCTCACTCTCAAGGTCAAACGAATTCATCCCATTTATTGGACATGACAGCAGAGACACTTATATTTTGGATGCGACAGAACACGACGCCGGACCAGGCTCGTAGCATTCTCGCATCTACACCCCAGATTGCGTATGCACTGATCACTCTCATGGTCAAGATGAATGCAGTCGACGTACAAGTACTCCAAGTCAGTCGCATGTGCTCCCATTTTCACTAGACCTTACTCATACTGACCTGCGTATATTCATAAAATAGAAAACGGTCACCGCCTATTCCACGAACGTCTCCCCTCCACAACCTGCCATTCAACCAGTCTCCGCCGTGCCCCCTCACCTCTCCCAACATTACAATCGTACACCAACTCCACAAACACATACTTCAACCCACTACAACGGGCACGGACATCCGCCTCAACTACAGCCCCAACCTCAGCCTATCGCGTTCACAGGTCAGGCCGTGTACGGCGGTGGCCCCGAGCCCGCAACAGGGTATGGCGTGCCGCCACCGCAACAGCCCTCGATTTTACCGGATGCACTTGCGTCTCTGCCAGAGGAGCAAAAGGTATGGTTATGCTTGTTCTGCGTTCGTTATGTCTCTCATGATCACGTTTCTCAGGTCATGATCATGCGCGTCGTATCCATGACACCCGAACAAATACGCATGTTACCCCCCTCGGAACGAGCAGGCGTCATCCAATTAGTGAGTCCCCCCCCTGCTTGTCGTGGTTTCGTTTCTGTGACCTTATTCCACTAGCGAACAACACTCGGGCTGCCTGCATAGTCGAACGAAAGGGTTCAGATGAGATGTAGATGCACGAGTTGACCGTTCATGTATAGATTGTATGTTAGGCATAGCTGGATAGTCATCTGCTACATAATCATTAGTGTGATTTCATCACTAGCGTGTGGGGGTGGGCACCGGGCTTCTGAGTGAAAGTGATATCCAGGGCTCTTGAGTATCGCTTTCATTCGGATGGAAGATGCTAGTGGGCCTCGGGTTTTGAACGTGGCAAGGATGGTTGGAGGATGCCTTGATGATCCTGATATCGTCCCCTTCCTTAAGATCATGGTAGATAAAACCTACTTACAAGTTTTCGTGAGTGCGCGTACATCGGGGAAATGATGCAACAGCCGTTCTAATACTCTCGATAACTGTAATTCGGGGAAAGTTGTGCGCTTGGGTGAGTACGGCACCTTGGAAGACGCAGCTATATGCCCAAGTGCGAGGATGATTTTAATCTCGGTCTCAACGCTGAGATCGGTCCCTTGCAGACATCTACGGCGATCTCGGCGGCTTCGAAGTCGTGCGCTCTAGTACGGATGCGTGGTACGTTGGTGCGACACAACTGAGGGTGGCAGCGGGAACAAACTAGTCAACTACAAAGACTTTCTGTCGTCCTAGATACCGGCCGGCACTTACAGAACGCATCAGATGGGTTCATGGATGAAAAATCGATGAGCAAAGGTTCGTTGTTTCCCTACATAGAAGTCGACGAGCGCCTCGAAAATTTACAGCCCTCACTGGATACTTGCCAATTCTTCCGCTACCATTCCCCGCCTGGTACTCACCATGGTCCTTCGGTTGTTTCGTCGCCACACTACCGCTGTTCGTTATTCACGTGGACGGTGCGATATCTTGTAGTTGACTTTGTCACCGCGGAAACCTGATCGTTACAACTTAGTGTAGTCATAACGTCCTGCGCCATTCAGTACGATGTAGCATAGATTCTTACAGTGTATCACTCGTGTATTCTGGACGAGGCTTTCGGAAAGTGGAAAATCAAACTTTGCTTGTTTGCTACGAGGGGAGGTCAGGTATGGTCAGCGAACCGGCCAGACTTTGGACCCCGCAAACCGCAGAAAGTCCCGTCGGGCGCTAGGACTACAGTACTGCACCGCCTGGACATCCGGCTCGGCCACTGGTCCATCCACACCGTCAGTGATGACGCGCATGCTAGATGTTACCAAATGCAAGGGGGCGGTATTAGCGAGAGCTCACCGTTTCTAGAATATGATAGCCAGCAACTAGCGGATGCTTCCAGATATTAACCAGCGACCTTGGTCATCGACTTGGAACTCACCGATCAGTTACTCCGCAAGGGCGACTACTCGCCCTTGTAGTAAGGAGAAAAGGCTCGGTAGTTTCATGTTCATATCACCCAGAAAGTTGTGCATTTGTGATCGAAATCAGTGATATGCACGCGTTCACAACGTTCGTGAATCACGACGGCGGCCCCTGAGCGAACCAATACCGACTTGGCTCCGGTCTCTGGAACTGTTTCAGAGCAAGATAGCATGCGGTGTTGTGGACGACTGTGACTTACGGTGTCATTAAGATTGTCCGAGGCCGAGCAGCCAAACAAGCTGAGCGCAGAGCACCGGCCGGAACGCAGTAGGGCAACATAGGTGTAGTCCTACCCTAGCCTTGCTTGCTTACGCCTGAATCTCCCTTATCGAAAATACAACCGAGAACAATTGGGGGATGAGCGGCAATGAACGCCAAAGAAATGGTCGATTTGCGCACCCCTCCTGTATCGCATCCCATGCACGTACACTGTAGAACAGTTTACTGGAGGGGGGTGTGGAGGAGGAGACTTCCGATGACGTCTGTCCAAGTGTAGTACAGTAGTAGACTTTCGCTGACTGACTTCGCTTAGGCAAGTACCGGTGGGAATTCCTCGGTAGTACAAACCACCGATATGAGTATGGCGATCACGGCTGATGACTGGTACGCCTGCGTATCGGAGTGGGCGATGTCGAGCAGAAAGATATCGACCGCTAACAAAACAGGTTTGGCAATTGGGCACATCGTGCTTACATAATACCTACAGCCTCACCTTTTCCACGTCTCGCATCTTCGACGTCGAACAGAACTCACAAACCGTACACGAAACACCTTTTCAATGGCAGCGCATGCAGTCGAAGAAACATCGTCGTCTCTTAGATTTCGGAAAGCCGCCCGGTTCTGCGCCTAGCATGTCTGACTGGTACGCATATTGTCTTTGCCAGGAGATAGCATGTTGATTTTGGGGATCAGTCTCAAGGCCCTTCTCAGGCTCCGCTAGGGAGTCCTACCCTTGATATGGAAACATCGAGCAGCGCATCCAAGGGAAGGGCTTGCCAAGATCAAGCGCTTCTTCCATCGGAACTTCCAAAGTCATCAAACCACTGCGACGGAGAGGGCTCATACAAATACCGATGTGGGTCCTCTGGAGCAAATGGAACAATCACCGGCGCCTGGAACAGAGGTCGTACGTCATCTGCCACCACCTCCTCATGCTATGAGCCTGGTTGATCCCCTTTGGATAGACCCAACGGCCAGCCGACGAGACTCAGTCAGCATCCCGTATCAGCTGCGGTTGGACAAGATGTCGATGCCGCGGTGAAAGCATTCCATGACATTAATCCTATTTCTCGCATCGGATGTGGTGTCATCAGTGTCATCGACGACGCCAATACCCAATTCACGGAAATCGAAAACTTCAGCGATACGTATCTCAAACCTTTCAAAGTTTTCAATGAAATCGTTACTACTCTTTCCAACGTACGTGTTTTATATTTGCATCCGATACATTCACCACATGCGTGCGCCAGGTTCACCCTTATGCCAAGATTGCACTGGGAATCTTGTCCGCCGCATCCAATGTACGTTCATGCTTCGATGGACATTCCTTTATCTCACATCGTCCGCAGTTGCTCATCAGCCAAGCTAATCGAGACGCAGCAGTATCCAATCTGCTGAATAAAATCAGGAATACCTATGAATTCCTTGCGGAAGATGACACCATAAAGAATATCGAGAACATGAAGGATACCCTTGCAATGATCGCGCGGGTGATAAGTGACTCTGCACAATTTATCAAAGACTATTCCTGAAACGAAGAGTTTCTGTACGTCTTATTTTCGTATAGGTCTCCAGTGTGTCGATGCGATACGTACGTTCTCAGGGAAAAGAATGGGGAAAAACATTTTATCTGAAACGCAGACCATTGTCGATGGTCCACATCAAAACCCTAGATGACTTGATGCAGCAGTACCGCGACCGCACGATCCGGAACATTCACATCAACGTCACTCGCGTATTCGAGGATTTGAACCTCGATGGCATGGCTTACGCAGGCGGGGCTGGCCTGAACACGACCAAGAGATGCCTTGATGGTACGAGGACCGAGATTTTACAGCAGATTATTAGTTGGATTACCAGTCGTGACGTCGACGTGCCCCGCATCTTGTGGCTTCATGGTCAGGCTGGGAGGGGGAAGTCCGCTATTGCCCATACAATTGCATCGTGGGTCAAGGACGTGGGGGCAATTGGGTCTTGCTTCTGCTTCGTCCGTGACCGACAATCCGAGCACCGCGAAGAGAAGATGTTCACTACCATCGCGCGCGATCTGGCTGGACGTGACCCTGCGTTTCGACGAGCATTGGCCTCTACTCTTGCGGAGGATCACACTCTCAAGGCTACCCCTGACGTGGCGCAGCAATGGCAGCGGCTCATCTTGGAACCGCTGTCGAAGGCCAAGGGAGCGATAGTTGGGAACGTGGTTGTGGTGATCGATGCCCTGGACGAAAGTGGGGCAGACGAGTCAAGAAGACACATTTTGTCACTCCTCACGTCGACCGAGGCTGCCAGTTTGCCTGCCAATTTCCGCATTCTTTTGACGTCCAGAGCATTACCGGACATCGAGTACGTGCTGGGAAATTCACAGCACGCGCTAAAAACCTGTCTGGATGACGTTCCTTTGGAATCCGCAGAACGTGACATCCGTCTATTCGTTACGAAAGAAATTGGCCACCTCAAAGATATTGGATCCACTGAGATAGACCAGATTGCTGAGAAGGCGAATGGGTTGTTCGAATGGGCGCGTCTGGCCTGTGAATTTGTCAGGCCAAGGAGAGCTGGACATACAGTGAAGGAACGCTTCGACAATGTGGTGACTTTGCAATATGGAGAGGGGAAGACGCTTCTGGATGCAACATACATCTCAATCCTGGAGAGTGGTATACCCACATCACCGGTACCCCTTTCCCGATTTCGTTCGGTGATGCGACAGGTTTTGATGGTCATGGAGCCCCTGCCTGTGAAGACGCTGAAGTTGATGCGAATGCACTTCCCAAGCGAGGATGATCGCTATGACATTTCTGTCATCTTGGAATTCATGGCTCCGGTGCTAAGTGGCATCAGTGACCATGCAACTCCTGTTCGCCCTCTCCACGCATCGTTCTACGACTTCCTAACTGACCGTTCGCGGAGTGGCGACTACTTCGTTGACATATCTGACTCGTATGACCAGTCCTTTGCATCATTGCAAATTCTTTGCAACGATCTTAAATTCAACATCTGTGGACTGGAGAGTTCCTACTTCAGCAATACCGACTTTCCTGATTTACCCGAGAGGTGCACCAAAAACATCTTGCCGCATCTATCTTATTCCTGTCGATTCTGGGCGAAGCATCTACACCGGACTGCATTTGACGTCAGGCTGGCAATGCTGGTGCACACTGTAGTTGGAAGTGAAAGGTTTCTGTTCTGGCTTGAGGCGATGAGTCTGCTTGGTTTAGTTGGAAATGCTACAGATGTTCTTGCCTGTACTGCAAAGTGGCTACAAGTGAGTATTCCATAATTTATGGGTAACATCTTCTGAGAGCTATGAAAGGGCCAAAGTGGGTCTGAGGATACATTAGCATTGGCACAAGATGGGATACAGTTCATTTGGAACTTTGGCAATGCAATCTCACAAAGTGCAATGCATGTCTACATCTCTGCACTTCCATTTTGTCCATCAAACAGCTTGCTATCAAAAGTGCTCAAGCCAAAATTCCATTGTCTCGCAGAGGTTTTTGCAGGAGGGTTCAGGGACTGGCCTTCTGTTCAGATGATTCTGGAGGGTCATGATGATTATGTCAGATCAGTGGCATTCTCCCCTGATGGGAAGAGGATTGTCTCAGGCTCAGATGACAAGACTGTGAGGGTTTGGGATGCTGAGAGAGGTGTGCAGGTTGGCAGCCCTCTGGAGGGTCATACAGATT